ATGGTTGTAACAGTTTTTTTTTTCTTAACAGGGTTGGAACAGTTGGCCCTAAAGAGTTTGTCACCGCCAAAGTGCAGTTCACACCAAAGCTGCCAGGACAAAGAAAGATACTGATAGATTTTGCCAGCGATAAACTTCACAATGTTGAGACCTATGAGAATCTTGTCATATATGAATAAATGAACTGTTTTTACTTATGCTTGTGAAGTCTTATTCTGTTGGTTCATGTGGGGTCAGACATCATTTAGAATTTTCAGCATGAAAAACATGCAAGATTTGAAAATGAAATCTCATCAAATGCCAGTTCTGCTGCAAAAATGAGTTATGAATATTTTGTACAAGGGCTGTGCAAATGAATTAAATTATAATAAAATCATGAAACGAGAAGACATGATTGTGTGCAATTAGAACCAATCAGAACGCAGCACGCCTAAATCTAGCATGAGAACTGAACAGTATGGACTTACCATTACGACATGGAAGAAAGCACAGAAACAAGGAAAGTGAATTCAGGGCAGTATAAGAACTTGGTGCAAGGCCCAACAATAACGACCGCCCAATGACCCGGAAACATTCAAGCATCTTTAAATCATTCAATTTAGTAATTGCATGCTGTCTGAAATGGCTGTCTGTGTGCACAAAACATTGAATTGAGTTATTTTGCAAAATTTTACACTATTTACATTCAATTAACTGAATGTATTAAATTAACGAAAAAGAGTTGAGAAAGAAAAGGCATAAGCCTATGTATCAGTATATTGGACCAGTGCAATAGGTCTTAAAGTGACAGCAGCCTAATAAACCTGTTGCTGTCTGTGTTATTAATGTCAATCAAACAACAAAATAAAAAGAGAAGTACTCACTGCTCTTGACCGAATAACTTTCGCAAGGATTAAAAACGTTTTCTCTTTAATGTTTGAACTTTAAATTAGTCAAGATAGTAGTGTTCGCTGTGGCATCAAAATTAGGATCGAGAGTTGTGAAATTTCACTGCCATCTAAAATGCTGTTGTCATAAAACAAGTGAAATGCTACTGTTTCATATAATGTATGTGGTCAAGCAGAATATTGTATTTATGAATGCAAAGTAAGGAAATATTGTTTCGAAATCAAAAATCAGAACATTTGTCCATATCTGTTTCGTACTGTTCTGACTATAATGTAAATTCATAATTTTTTACTTTGAACATAGACTAAATTATTCAACTTTACAAAAATAAGTGTGGTTGGAATAAACTGCCTTCCATTTGCATGCCTAAGGTGCATTTCTCATGTTAGAAAAACAGAATTTGAATATTGCATCAATGCAAAACTGCTCAAAAAGTCTGAAACTCCTCAATAAGTCATGAATCTGAATTATGAATCAGTTCTGCAGCATTTAAAGCAAACCACAATCAGTTCCACCTGTAGTCGGCTGAATTGAAGCTACAGTAGCACGGTTGGCAGTGTGCTTTGGACGTGTCGGTGTTTAAAATCCTAAGAACACTTTCTTGTGAGATACCATTCTTTATATCTTTTTTTTTTTTTTTACTTATTTTCTTCTACACTAATCTCTTCCTCCAATTTTCATTTTCTTATAGATTAAAAAATGGTAACGTGGGACCAAACAAACACTTCAACATGCACACCATCGATTTTCTCAGCGAACTCCAGCTCGTGCTACGTTATACCCACCTATTTTATCGCCGTCTCTCTCAGCATCAACATGGTTCTCAGTCTACCGGCAAACTGTTACATCCTGTGGCTGAGTGTGAAAGAGATGATTCAGGGACAGTCGACTGAAATCTTCATCTTCAATGCGGCACTAGTTGAGGTCGTCTTCTGCTCTTCTTATGTTTTTATCATACAGCAGTATTTCTTTAATTGTACTCATTGCAAGTTTGTCATATATTTTCCTGGTCTGTTGCTGTTAGTCGGTCGTCCTCTGTTTCAGAGCTGCACTTGTGTGGAGCGTTACGTAGGGGTTCTCCATCCTGTGACCTTCTTGAAACTCAAACCCATGAAATACAGAATTGCGTTATCCATCATCGGATGGATTCTGATAGTTATCTCAAGCTTTATGGTTTCAGTGAACATCATTAAACTTCATCAATTAGTTTTTTTGCCAGAACTGCTTGTTTTTTTAAGCATCAAAGTGTTCAGCTGCTTGATGGTCCTGAAGGCTCTGAAGCGACCTGGACCTGGTGACGACTTCAAGAGGAAAGAGGGAACGAACCAAGACAAACTCAAGGCTTTTTGGATCATTCGGATTGTGCTGGCATCTGCAGTGCTTATGTACGGTCCTATGATTATTTCTCTTGTGCTTTATTATCTTATAGATTTAAAGAGGTTTCTTTTGTCCTGGTCTGGGGCCTTGTGCCTTGGGCTCATGACAGGGTTTGTGCATCCTTTCCTCTATCTCAAAAGAGTGGGAAAACTTCCCTTTTGCTAAAGGTACTTCCCATATGTTGGTGTCTCGAAAAGCATTAGACAAACAAATACTGCTTTTCTTTTGAGAAATATTAGATGTATCTAACACAAGATTAAAGAGATCATCCAAAAATTAGATTTCTTGCCAACTTCATGTTATTCCAAACCTTGATTTCTTTCTTCTGTGTGACACACACACACGCACACATACACATTATTTTATTTTTAGGAAGAATATCCTATTTAAACCCCTTGCAAAAGCCTGTCTGGTGTAGCGTATAAAAGATGTAGCAGATCTGCTGTACTTTGAGTCATAAAGTACCTGAACACTATTTTCTGAATACCAGTAACATGAAGCTCATTATATGTTCATTATGTACATTATATTTAAATTTCTTAAATAAGTACTAAAATATATCAATAAAGAAAACCATTTAATGAACATGTGCCTCTTACTCTGATGAAGATCTGCTTTCACATCAAGCAAATGCCAAATGAAATCATCCTGCATTTGGGCCGATTGATTCACATGAGCTTGGGCTTGTATGTAATGGTCCAATTGAAGTCAGACCCCTTAAAAGAACCAACATGCAATGAAACCAAAAGATTAGAGAGTTCAGGTTTCTGCACAATTTACATAGTTTCCAGTCATTTAGTTTGGTGTAGTTGTATGTTTGATTGATTGTGGTCTACGGTGACAGCTGTGTCAATAAAAAATGTGTCTCATCCTAGAAAATCATCATGCAATAACATTTTAATGTCACAACCTGAATAGTGTTTACCTCTCAACCCAATGTGTGCGGTTTCACCTGTGCATTTGAACATTTACCATCTAACCATCGATCTGCATTGAAATGGCATTCAATGAATCAGAAGACGGGTGCAGTCATGCGCACCTGCTAACTGCAATAACCCTCAAATCCCATTCACATTTGGACATATTCAAACCTGCCATATTATGATCACTTACAAAACACACAAGAACCAATGCATTTGGCATCACTAAATACAAATATGTTGTGGCATCATAGCCATTATATTATAATGTAAATATTACTGGACATAAAACTAAAATGCCCCCACAAACTGTCTCCACAAAATTACTTCAAAATATCCCAAAAGTTGTCCCGTTGGGCTTCCTGAAATGTCACTGATTAATTGATTATTTTTTAACTTAGTTCACTTTAGCAGACTGTTTAAGTGCTACTAGAAAAACACGGTTGATAGATTTATCAAAGTTTTACTACTGTAATGGCATCGTGTCTTAATTTTTTTTTTTTTATTCTTTAAACGTGGTCAGTCTGTCTTAAGCTGTGTTACATCCAGATGTTATAAGAACAGAATATTTTATAGACATAACTCATAGCGATCTAGGCACCCTGCTGAAAAACAACAACAACAGAAACCATCAAAAATTCAAATGAAATTAAAATGGTTTCCACTACAAACACCACTACAAACAAACAATCAACTATTACAAATGAAAACCATTAAATGGCTTCCTGTAGTGTAGTTTTGGGACATAACACCATTGCAAATTATGTGAAGGTTTCTATTGTTTTATTCAGCAGGGTAGTACACATTGTTATCCGAGTTTTGTCTATAAGACATAACATTTAGAAATAACGCAGCTCCGACCTAAAATCAGCCAAAACATTGTCTATATAGTTTCTAGTTGTTTCTAGCATTAGCTACAGTTTGAGGCTAATTTTATGCGTGACATTATGTCTAATCCATAAAGCAGGACTGTAGCTCTGAATAATTTTCGATGTTACAAAAATTACCTCACAAGCATAACACTTGTAGATTCATAATTTAAAAACAGTCGGCCTCGCTTGTACCGCCCATGTTTTTCAAAAGATCGTTAGCACACCTTGGTGGGGCTAGTGTGTGTTCCATTAAAGATTTACCCACGAATGAACGCGAACCATAAAATCCATTCACGGTCTATGTAGACGCTGCTTTTTCGCACACTCTCTTTTTCGGTTGTGGCTAGAAGGGATACAGCTACGGCCGGAAACTAAATAAATAAAAAAATTTACCTATTAGAAAATTAATATTTTATTAACGTCTACACCTATCCCAACCCTAAACATGCCCCTTACAATAATGCAAAAACAGTAATTATTGTTAACTTGTACAGGGGAAGTCGTGGCCAAAGGTTGCGGGTTCGAGTCTCGTTCCGGCAGGGATTGTAGGTGGGGGGAGTGAATGTACAGCGCTCTCTCCCACCTTCAACACCACGACTGAGGTGCCCTTGAGCAAGGCACTGAACCCCCAACTGCTCCCCGGGCGCCGCAGCATAAATGGCTGCCCACTGCTCCGGGTGTGTGTTCACGGTGTGTGTGTGTTCACTGTGTGTTTGTTCGTGTTTGACGTTTATAAAAATAAGAAAAGAATGAAAAATATTCCAAAAGAAAATAAATAAATCCACAGCACAAAAGGAAAAACTAATAAATTCCATTTAATTTAATATAATAAATGTGGGCCTAGTAGTTTTCTGCCCTCTTGTGGTAGAAGCCAAGTAACTGATTTTATTGGAGGTCACTTCCTCAAAAGTCCATCTGTTCAGTTGAGTTTCAGGGGGCATCATCGAGAGAACAACAACTCAATGCAATATTAACACATACATCAGTATGTGGGCTTTCATCTTATATTTCATCTGCGTGGAAGGTAAGATAACACATTATATGCATATTTTAATTGTGTTCTAAGGTTAAGCAGATTAAATTATATTTAATTGTCCACAATACAAAAGGTTTCAAGATGTACACTTTAAAATGTGTCTGGCAACTCTAAGCCACAGTTCCATGATGATATATACACTCATGGACAAGAGAGCATTCTTATGACTTGCATAACTGTGAACTTTTGAGAAAATGCAGCTGAACATGTGGCCTGTTCAGTAAGCAGTATAAATGATTGATTTCTGATCTTTAGTAAATATACACAATTCATAACAAATCTAATCTAAAACAATATACAGTTGCAATGACATCAACAATCAGAAAAAGAAAAAAAAAATCAAATAATTAAATAATATTATACACAAGTCACATTAGTGGAAACACTGACATAAACATTTCCTGCTGACTTACACTTGGTCTCTTCACATTCACGCCAAGCTAAATTTAAAAAGAAAGAAAGAAAAACTTTTCATTTGAATCATTTTTGTGATTTCTCACAACATTTTTTTGCATCTGTTTATGTGTTAAGCTAAAGAGTGCCACATTTTCATTTCTGCCATTGGTTTCACTTTTCGAGTTAAAGAAACACTTCTGTCGTTTACATGCAGCATTGTCTGAAACCACAAAAAGACTTCCTTTATCCCTCTTTAGATCATGTTCTGTCAAACCTGCTAGTGTCGCCATACAAACATGCATGAAAAGAAGAAATCAAAGATCTTGCCATTAATTCAAAACCTTATCATCGTTCAATCAGTTGTTTGTCTGTCAGGCCGTCTTGATTTTTAGCCACTATATCACAGTTCAATCTTAAATCTGATTAGGACAATTAATATGAAATTAACTCTACAATCTTCTTCTCTGAAGGATCTTGCATATGGTTGCACATCAACCACAACACTTAACACACAAACCTCAATGACAGTGACAATCAGCAAATTAGTTTTTATTATCACCACACAACAGTTGACTAATAGTGATGACAAAATCAACAACAGTATAAATGTCAGTTGCAAAGGTCCATTGGAAAAACAATAATCCTATAATATGAATCGCATACTTCATGCATGCTGCAATGGATTCTGGGAGATTTCAACAAATTCAGTGTGGTTCAGACAACCATGCACTGTCTTATGTAAATAAAATAATTCATATCTGTGATTCAAAAGGTCCTGTAAGTGTAATGATTTCTATTTATTAAAATATATGCATTAAAATATAAACGACCCAGACTATATTAAACACAGGTTTGTTTGGTTTGTGTCGACCACATGTGCTGAAATGTTGGCTGCCCAGAACATCAAACCATTGAAATTCAACAGGTGTTTAGAAACCATAATTGTCTATACATATTAGTCATTTGTTTACCTCTATATTTCACTTATTTTCATATTGTTTCAGTGGGTGGAGAAATTAATGATGTTGAAACAGTTAAAGTGATGGAGGGAGGTGTTCTCAATCTACATCCTGGACTTGAAGATCTAAAGGGAGACGTTCAGATAATGTGGACGTCTGAAAGTGGCAGAGAAAATAATCGTCTCGCACAGATGCATCAAGGGAAAATTTACACTCATTATGACATGAGATTCACAGGCAGAGTGCAGTTAGACCGAAAAACTGGAATTTTAACCATCATGGACATCAGGACTAATGAATCTGGACTGTATGAAGCCTTAATCATCATCAATACACTCATCACAGGACGGAGATACAAAGTTCATGTTTATGGTAAGTTACAGCTGCAGCCTCTATTGAAAAATAACATGGAAATCATAGGATATTGATTAGATTTGGTTCCATATTGATTATTGCACTGCAATACTGGCATCTTTAATTAAGGAAGATATGGCTTTAAGGTGATGTGCATGCTTCCTTTTGTTCTAAAGCACCTGTCTCTGTACCAGCCATCAGGAGCAGCTCATCAGTTAGTGTGCACCAATCGACAGGTCTGTCTTTATGATTTCTGTATGAAATAATACAATTTTCTGTGGACTTTTTTAGCTTAGAGTTCTGACCTTTTTCTCTCAATTGCGAGTTTATAATTCAGCATTTTTTTCTTAGAATTGTGAGTTTATAACTTGCAAATGGCATCTCGCAATTTTTACTTTTTCCCCCCAGAATTCTACATGTGTATGTGGTTTAAAAAAAAAACAAAAAAAAAAACTTGACGTGTGAAATTAAGATTCTGAGGGGGGAAAAATGTCATAATTATGAGATGTATACTTTTGGGGAAACGTCTGAATTGTGATATATAAACAGAATTCAGTTTTTTTTTTGTTTAGTTTTTTTTTTTAAAGAGTCAGAAATGCAAGTAAATTTTGAATTTTGGGGGAAAGTCTGAATTGTGCAGACGTAAACTTAGCATTCGGAGAACAAAAAGTCTAAATTGCAAGATGTAAACCTACAATTCTGAGAAAAAAAAGTCTGAATTGTGAGACGTAAATGTAGAATTCTGAAAAAAAATTTAGAATTGTGAAACGTAAAATTGGTGGAAATAAGCTTCCATAAAATGATTCCAGAAGTTCTGCAACAATACTAAAGAAAATATTACATATTTTTGAATAGTTTTGTTATTATGTTGCTTTTGGGACTCTTTTTTGTAAATTATGATAGAAGTAGAATTCATTTCTTTCAGGTACATCACAGGAAACAGAGGAGTTCTGCTCTGTGTTGTGTTCTGTGAAAAATGATCAAGGCGTGTTCATCTCGTGGTATAAAGGAGGTGAAATGCTGAAACAGACCAGCAATCCTGATCTCAACATCAACCTCAGTTTAGCATTAGAGCTTCATTATAATGATCCAGAGACCTACAGCTGCACGGCTGTGAATCCAGTGAGCAATAAGACTGTCCATCTTCATATGAAAGAGATCTGCCCACGACGTGAAGGTATGATAACTCAGTCTACATATACCACAGAACTCACATTCTGCCACAATGAACTCTGTGTAGCATTTTCACAAAGGCATTTAATGGCACAGAAGATGTTTCTGAATAAGTCTGTTCTCTTTCAGATTGTCTGGATCACTGTGGCGTCACTGAGGCTCTGATTCGTCTGGTTCTGTCTGGTCTGGTGGGAATCGTCGCTGTTGGATTTCTTATCGATCATTTGAGGTTCTGCTCATCTCAGAAAAGAGCTGCTGCTGCTGCTGTGTGCTGAAGATACTTTTGTGAGATTTGGTGTAATTGCCCTTTCCTTTTACACTCTTAAAAATAGATTTTGGTCCTGTTGTATTTTATAACTGGGAACCAGTTTCTATTTAACAAAAACAACAAATAAGCTCTGTAATATGTACAGTAGTATCATATATTTAGAAAACATGCTCTGGAAAAAAAATTCTATGGGCTTCTGTCTATGTGGTCTGTTGTATGTAAAAATATATTATTTAATTTGACAATTAAACAAATATAAGTAATGTTAAGGTAGAAATAATCCCTTAACTCATTGGTTAGTGCCCATGTTCACTTTGTATAGTGTATATACCATTGCTGCACTTTTTTGTTGCTAGACAATATACACAAAATGCTTTTATAATTATGTATTGTTTTGTACATTGTACTTTTATTTAGGTAAGTAGCACATCTCACAGCTAATGATAATTCGGGACACTAATACATAATCTGATCACTTCTTTTATGAGATGCACATGTTTTTCTCTGTGTATGTTTACTTTCTGTCGTTACATTACAAGAATCATTTTAGCCAACACACATACTGTAAGTAAGAGAAAAGCATTTAAGATGATAAAAAAAGTTTTTACTTTCAACTTTTTTGGTTCTGCTTCCATTTTCCAATCCAATCAACTGACAATTCTGCTTAACCCGTTTTAATCTAAAGACATTTTGTTGTATGATTATGCAAATATAAAGAAATGCACTGTTGTAAATGCCTTTGTACAGAGAAGTCTAACAGAGATGTGTTCAGTAAGACTTGAATATATTTTAAATAAAATAAATACAAACAGAATGCACAGACAATACAAAAATATTGTAATGCCACTCACAATTCATAAAGAAACGATAATAAATAAAGCCTCAAGTGACGATTATCTTGGTCCAAACCCAACAGCTTATATGTGACCTTGGACCACAAAACCAGTCATAAGGGTCCATTTTTCGAAGTTTTATAGATAATCTGCTGAATAAATAAGCTTTCCATTGATGTATGGTTTGTTAGGATCGGACAATATTTGGCCGAGATATAACTATTTGAAAATCTGGAATCTGAGGGTGCAAAAACATCAAAAAGTTGTAGAAAGTTGATGAAGAAAGTATAATCACCTTCTTCAAAATATTTTCTTTAAACTTGTCCAAATCAAGTTCATAGCATATTACTATATATAACATATTAGCATATGCATATTACTAATCAAATTAAGTATTGATATATATACGGTAGGAAATTTACAAAATATCCTCATGGAACATGATCTTTACTTAATATCCTAATGATTTTTGGCATAAAAGAAAAACCAATCATTTTGACCCATACAGTTGGCTATTGCTACAAATATACCTGTGCTACTTGTGACTGCTTTTGTGCTCCAGGGTTGTGCTTTTCAGATACGACTATCTTGAATCTCCGCTGGAGATTAAGTTAGGGTTTGATGGAAACAGAAAAACAGAATTAGCTTACTACTCAGAGATCACAAAAGCTACAATAAAGCGATTGACTCTTGCGCTGTCATTTTTTATGACAAGTTATTGACAAGAGAATGTGCCACAGTATCTGATTGAATACTTTAAATACTAATTTATATGCTATTAAGAAATGAGTGTGCTTTTTACGTGAAATGTGCTTTTACAGAAATGTTATTGTATATATTATACTAAAAGAGACAAACAATATTGCAATATATCTAATCATGTCTGGCAACTTGACAAACATGTATTCGGTTTGATTAGGAAAAAGTTAACATTTAAGGATCAATAAGAATTTTCAAAATGGCCTATTTCTAATTAAAGGAAACAAAGGAGGTATTGTTAGTGTACAGTGGTGCTACAAATAAAAACAACTGTTATTTAGCCATTCGTACTGATGCAAAACTATTAGGTTAAACAGGATTTCTAAACCTTTGGCTCTATCTGGTGGACAATCGTCAGTGCTTGGAGCCATAATTATCATCTTATCAAAGGCAGCAGAATCTCCTGGGATCTCTTGGGAAATCAGCACCAGTGTCCCAGTGGCAGCACCAGTGGTTACATTCCTCAGTGAATGAAACAACATTTTGATTCCTTATAGTCGACCCATCTTGTTATTCCATTTAGCTTAGTCCTGCACTGGATGAGTTTGCAATAATACAGTAACTATAAGTAACCTGCATGATCACTTTAGGATCTGTGCCACCTGCTGGCTTCAGTGTCTATCTCTTGGGGCACTTTGTCAGAATTTGCCTGTAAATCCATATAAAAACAATTACAGGATGCCATGCAAATCAAGTGAAAATAATGATGTAGATGCCAAAGTATAAACTATAACTACTTTAGGTTTATAATATCCAACCATTCCATTGTCAGTGCACAATAAAATTACACAAACCTGCATCATATTTGCTGGATAAAATCCAGTACTTGTTTCTTACTAAAGAAGACATTATTTGAGTCTTCCTTTGTGCCGTTTACACATGTATGAATGATCCTGAAGACATTATTTGATGCCTAATCCTGATTTCAAGGCTAGAACTATAAAGAAACACGAGCCAGATGTGTTATGTGGATGTTTTACTGCATCCAAACAGCAACACAAAATTGTAGATTTTGTGAAGAAAAAAAAAGCTTATTTATTTTTAATAAACCTGTGTTTGTGTTAAGGTCTCTGAAATTAATTGTGTATTTGAACATTTTTCCACTTCTATTCTGACTATAAGTTAAATAATACATTTTAAATATTTTTGTCATTAAAACTTTTGACATTTGATACAAATGTACATAATGGAAAATTTTTATTGATATTTTTGAATGCAGCATCATGAAATTCCGTAACTTTTTTTGCAAATCAGCAAGCAGAATTTTTTTTCAAGATGCTATTTTCAATGTCATAAGACAGGTTAAGACAAATTGCTCTGCAATTATGATACTTGCCTTTCTGTGTTTCCTATAAATGACAGCGCCAGTGATGACCACTAAAGCGAGGACCACTAAAACTGCACCTGCACTTTTTCCTGCAGTAAATTCACCGTTCGTGGCAGAAGCTATTTTTTCTGGGATGATAGTACTGAGTGGAGGCTCTGTAAGGGATAAAGAGAACAAAAACTATGAGTGAATTCTTACAAATAACTTTTATGCATTTCATAATGAGTTTATTTTGTATACAAAAACCCTTAAAGTGATCAAAAAGAAAAATGCAATAATTCTGTTTTCTATTATTATGGACTATGATCTACAAGAAAAACCCTAGCCCCCCTTCAAGGAAATAAAAAAAAAAAAATTCTCTCTCTCTCTGTTCTCTCCTTTTTTGTTGTTGTTGTTGTTGTATTTGTATGCACCTGTTCTGTATATTGTAATGTGAAGATGTTTTGATATGGCCAAATTGTTTGTACATCAATGATTGTTAAATTTAAAAAAATTTAATTAAATAAAAAAAAATCCGTAGTTTAAGGAAATAAATAACTGCAAATTTGAGTGTTAAAAAAAAAACTTCGGTTAGCTTAAATTCGGTGTTCTCTGTCAGGTCCGAGCTCACGCACGCCCCCTCGTGACGCAACGTTACGACGCAACATGTGACAAGTTCGTCCACCCATAGGTCACTTGAGTTCAGTCATTGATTGTGTTGAATTATAACTTTCTTCTTTGCGGTTAACTGCGAACAAATCTCTACCTTCATTTTAATAGCGTACAGTGGCTAAGGTGCCGATTCTGCTTAACGGAGAAAAACTAAATATGTTCTTTTGCGATATATGTATTAATTATACTTTCCCAAAGTGTTTAAATGCCCGCATAAGTCAGAATAACCTCAAAATAAACAGTTATTTCTCATAACTGGCTAAATGTATGCTGCTGTACTCTTGTTATCCTGTAAAATGATGCTGATGCAACTGCTGCAGCGGATTTCAGATAGCTCGGCAATACAACACGCAAGTGTAATACTTACCATAAACAGTAACGTTGTAAATCTTGTTTTCGAGCCGCTTGTTGCTGTGTTTGCGAACCTTGTAAAGCCCCGTTTGATGGTCGCCGACATTCATCAGCATCAGAGTAACATTCTGTCCATCAGATACCAGAGAGACTCCGGGTCTCCAGCACTCGCGCTCACAGACTCCGTTATGACAGATTAACTGAGCTATCTGTTCCTGTGAGGAGCCTTTGAGACGGCTCACCAAAACCTGAGGATCTTCGTCCCATGTCTCAAAGTGAACAGAGATGGTGAGGTTTCCTCCTTCAGGCACCGTACGTGACTCGGTCTCATCCTCATCTTCAACAGCAGCCGCAGCACCAAAACCAATGCCTTTAAAAATATATATATATACACTGTGCGAGTAAAGCTGACTCATCCTCAAATCAAATGTAACAAGTAAGCTATAAATTAACCCATGAGAGTAACTTGGTAACAAAACTTACCAATCCAACACGTTACTACAACGAAGAGTATCATATTCGGTATCTTGGAAAACAACTTGATATTGTTGTATAACTTAACCGGATAAACTCTCGTGGCGCTGGCTGCTATAAAACTCACCACGCCCACAAACATCACACCACCACAGACACAACCAGATCCCTTGTGAAAAAAAAAGTATACTTTATTGTATTTGTAATATATTGCCCGTTGTAATAGTACATTGCAAATATTCTAACAAAAAATCTTTAAATATATAAAAAAGTATATTAGCATCATGCTTTTGTCTATTTTCACAATACAACTTTTAACACACTTTAAAACAATTGTAATTTAGTATTTTCTAAAAAAATATATATATTTTACAAAAATATACTTGAATTTATTTTTTATAAGTATATTTATTTGCACTTTACTTAAATATATTTTATGAATATTTTTTAACTGTGTGCTGAAAATGATCATTGTAACAATGCATTGAAAGCATACTTTCAAAGTACATTATTAAATAATCCGAAGTTGTAGTATATTTTAAGTCACATTTGTGAGTAATTTTTAAGTTTACTTCTTCATGCTTGGAATTCACTTCATTACTTGGACATACATTGTTTTCAGAGTAATTAAGTAATAACACAAATAAATGTATTATAAAGTGTACAGTCAAGTAAACACTGTCTATATTGC